TCACACTTCTTCGCCGCATTCCACCTCGCTCTATCCTCACCAGACAACTACGAAATCGCGATTCCGCCAGCATTCATCGCCTCCGAATAAATCTGAAGTAACAACCGTCGCGATGGGCAAGAAGAAGCGCGGACACCCCGACGTCGAGGACGTCCTCTCCCGGCCTTGGTGCTATTACTGTATGAATCCATTGCCTTTCGCGTCTCGGATCTGAGCGCGTGTGCTGACTTGTTTGCAGGCGAGCGTGATTTTGAAGACCTGAAGCTTCTCATCTCCCATCAGAAAGCCAAGCACTTCAAGTGCGACAGATGCGGTCGCCGACTCAATACGGCTGGAGGTTAGTCCGCCACGCACGCTGTCCTCTGTGGCATCGTAAGCTAATGTCTCGTGTCGCGCAGGTCTCTCCGTCCATCTGAACCAAGTTCACAAGGAAACTCTCACCCAAGTCGAGAATGCGCTACCGAATCGACAAGGCCTCGATGTGGAGATCTTCGGCATGGAGGGTATTCCCCAGGATATTTTGGACCAGCACAGGAACCGCATCATCCAGAACTTCTATCAAGCCCAAGAGGACCGCAGGATCGCCACCGGCAACCCCTTGCCTGGCCAGTCGAAACAGCCGAGGAAGAAACTCAAGGTTGAGACTCCCGAAGAGTTGAAGGCCCGCCTTGCCGAGCATCGCGCACGACTGGCCGCCGGGCATCCTCCCGCTACTAGTGGCAGCCCTGCCAATGGCGCCCCTGCGAGCGCCAGCCCGGGTGCATTTGTAAGTATCCATACACCGAAAATGTTATACATGTGTGGCTTTGGGCTAATCATCCGTCACAGAACAACTCTCCGTACCCGCCGCCTCAAGCGCCTTACGGTGCGGCTCCCGATCCGAACTACCCGCCTGGTGCTGCCCCTGGCGCTCCGGCCTACCCTCAACAGGGCTATCCGCAAGGCAACTTTGGCGGTTTCTCTGCATCATCTCTTCCCGCGAGACCGACGAGTGGCCTTCAAGCGATGCCCGGTCTACCTCAACGACCGCCCCAACATGGCGGCCAGTTCTGGAATGGCTCTGGCGCACCGCCGCCTGGCTTCCCAGGAGCATCCACTGTCGATGAGCTGGTTTCTGGAGCGGCACAACACGGAGACGAAATCGACGAGCTCATTCGCAGAGCCGAGTCCGGTATCAAGCCAGCCAAGAAGCCCGAAGATGAAGCCGGTGATGAGGCCGCAGGCGACAAGAAGTCGAAGAAGGATAAGAACGGCAGAATGTTCTATGCAGACACAGAGGTCAGCCCTGAGGAGCGCATGGCGCAAATACCGAGATACGCCTACGTGCCCCCAGCATCGTAGTCAAGTAATGACTGGCATTGAACTATTTGGATGGCGGCGCATGGGGACGTTGCGACACGGATGCATCCCAATCATGGCAAGTGTCACTGCGAGAGGCTTTCATCGATTGACACGATTTTCGAGACTCGGGACGACAACGGCAACCCTCCTGAGCGGAGTTTCAATGGCGTAGCTGGTTTTGGGATGTACATAAAAATTGTAAGGAATGCACTGAAAATTTCCGTCACTGTACTCATCGCAGGCCGTGACGCTGAACAAATTGACAGGTCCTGCATTTCAACGATCGTCGTTTCATAGTGACCCGAATTGCTGTCTCTGGAGCTGCGGATGAAGAAGCTGGGATAACCTCTGATATGTGAACCGGCATCTGTATTGGTCCTAAGTCATGCATGAGAATGCAGGAGATGAGGGGCCGCGACGTGATAGGTGGTCACGCGTCCGTATCTGGACTTAGTTGCCAGCCTTGCTTACCTTGCTTGACGAGATCGCACAAACGACGCATGATCCATCCTTCTCAGAACGTCCAACATACTTACTAGCATTGGGGCATTCCTCTCGTACTACTCTGGGCCTTTGGTGCACAGCCTTGGCCATGTGGCTGATCGACACACAGAAAACAACACTGCATCGCGTTGCGGATCATCGACAAAATGGCACACGCTCGTACGCCATTCTCTCCCACACCTGGGGCAACCAAGAAGTCGAATTTCACCACATGTCGAATCTGAACAGTGCAAAGACGAAAACAGGATGGAACAAAATCAGGATGACCTGCAAGCTTGCCCGCTCCAAATTCAAGTACGCATGGGTCGACACATGCTGCATTGACAAAAGCAGCAGCGCCGAGTTGACAGAAGCCATCAACTCCATGTACTCCTGGTATCAATCGGCCGAAATATGTTACGTCTACCTAGCAGACCTAAGTCCAATACCTGAAGGGCTTAGGGGCACATATCGTTACGATTACCTCAGAGACAAATTACCCAAGTGCCGCTGGTTTTCTCGGGGCTGGACTCTCCAAGAGCTGATAGCCTCAAAGCAAATCGAGTTTTACGACAAGAAATGGAACCTCGTAGGCGAGAAAAGCGACCTCATAACCATTATTCAGGAGATCACACGAGTTGACGTGAGCATTTTACAAGACAATTCAGACCTACAAACGCTCCCGGTGGCACGTCGCATGTCCTGGGCCGCCGGCCGCAAAACCACAAGAGTCGAGGACATTGCCTATTGCCTCCTTGGTATTTTTGATATCAATATGCCATTGCTATATGGTGAGGGATCAAAAGCATTTCAAAGACTTCAAGAACACATCGCCAATGAGACCAACGACTTAAGCCTTTTTGCGTGGCAGAAAAAGGTCGACTACCAAGCGGCTTCAGCTCCAGGGCTCAGTGGTGTATTCGCAGAGTCTCCAGCAGACTTCACATACTGTTCTACCCTCATGAGACACCGAGATCGATTTCAGTTCAGGAACGACTTTACCCTCACCAACAACGGTCTCCAAGTCAAGGCCCAAAAGCTCAGGCTGCCGGCGAATGACGCTGCGGAAGCGGCGAACGATGCTGACGCGTTCTACGCATTGAGTCTTGATTGTCTCGAAACCAGTGTCAGAACGCAAGGGACCCCCAAGTGGCTTGCAATCTGGCTACTCAAGGTCGGAACGACGTTTGTTAGAGCGGTTCCAGATCAGGTGTATGCATACAACTCGAGATTACAATGGTCTAATGCCACGCTGGACACATTTGATGCCTGCATCCGCAAGACGCTATACGATCACGAAACGACGCGGCTGGCGTCCTTCATGGGAGCCAAGATCGGATTCGAGTACGACTCGCAGCTGAAAAACTTGATTATCTCCAAGACAGCGAACCCCGTGGAGGCATGCGTGCGATCCTCCGTCGCAGACTTTGTCTTTGACTGCCACGGGCTCGACAATTTCGCTGGGACGCATTGTTTCAAGATCCAATTCGGATTTCCATTACAGAAGGTTACCCTGGGCATCATCTGTGGCCTTCAGTGGGATGGCTCGCGTTGTCGACCGTGGGCGGCACTTTTTGACGAGCTCTCGGTCGAAGGGACCGAATCGGAGCTGCTGATGAGATACGCACAGGTGATCCCTGGCGTTAAGGCTGAGGAGAGACTGTCGGAGATTCGCGACTACATGATGTGTCGATTCACGGATCAATCAGGCCTGTACAAGTCGAATTTGATGCCCAAGTCTGCAACCATTATTCAGTACGGGACTGTCATCACACATCGTATCTGGATCGAGGCAGAACCCAGAAAGATCGACGAGGTTTCCTTCTCTCGAGGTTCGTCTTCTGCGTACATCTTCAAGGTCCATTATCGATCTGGCGTGAACCAGGCAGATTAGGTATTTGCTGAACAGGATCAAAAGTATGATGTTGTTGCTTCCATGCTCCTCTTCCCGCTCGATATGGGATGGCCGGGATTGCGTGAGTGGTGACGCGTTCGAGCAAGTACCTTACATGCGTGTACGCAGTACTCCGTAGACATGAACAGTTGATTGTGTGGGGACGGCAAGACGTGCCGAAGTTTTCCAATTCACATCACGAACCCAAGCGGTCGGGCTACTCATGGTGATGGCTTCCTTGCCACTTTGTTTAACAAGACTAGGGTGGCCGGGTAATCTGGGGGACCAAAGTTGCTAACAAGGCGAGTTTTTTTGGTGGCGGCCGGGATCATGTTCACTTTGCGGCTAAATGCAACTCTCCACTTCCAATGTCACAACTAGTTTGTTCCCCGCAGTGACTTTTGCCGTGAGATCACGCGCGGATCAAGAAATCTCCAAATTACATGCAACTAGCTGGCTGATTGCTTTTTGGGGTAGGCAGTTCTTCTATCTTGTCTGCGTTTAGTTCAATGTCTCCGAAGTCTGACCTGTTTGGTATTGTAAGTTGAGAAAATCTGGTCAATCTGGCGTGTAATCAACTTGCTTGAAGAAGAAGCAAAAGCAAAGGGTCTTTCAGAGTACTCAAGAGAAGCTCACTACCGTAACACGGCACCGGCTCTTGAGCAAGTTGTGGCCGAACAAAGCCGGGCGTGGGGTAAAAGAGTCTTGGAAGCCGCTCGCTTCGAGGACCCGGCCGCGCCGCGCTGCGGGGAAAGCTCGACTCAAGCATTATGGAGGCTGGGGTGTCCCTCGCCCGTATCGAGGATGACCATCTCTTCTCTACTGAGCATGCCTCGTAACCTCGCCGGCCTCTGCTCCGGCCTGTCATGGAGACCCAGGAAGTGGTCCCTTTTACCCGTCGGCCAGGAACCGTCATCCCATCTTGGCTGGTGTCATCCGTCCCCGGCCGTCCATGAAGGCGGTTCTCGTGCCATTATTGGTGGTTCTCCATGTTTGTCTAGCTTGTGGTGCCGTTCGTTCGTTCTTTCGTTCATGCCCCGTACCATCAGTCGATCCCACCTTGCCATGCCTGTTCAATCTGATTTCCCCATGGAAGCGTCATCCTGGTCTGGGGTCTCCAACCGTTCCTGATCCGAGGACTGAAGCACTTGCGCGCGCTATCGGATGCTCGTTTGCGTATTTAATAAAAGCGGTAGCCCTTCCCTCTCAATGATGCTGGTTCCTGTCGGTCCGTGACATTGTTCTTGTACAAGTGGAGCGTGAGCTTCACAAGCCCGCAGTCATGGCGTTCGTCAACCTCAAGTCAATCTCCCTTGTGGTCCTATCGAGCCTGGCACCTTTGATCTCGGCATTGGGACAGCAGCCGATCGTCTCGTTCGAGAGTGCTTCAGGCAGCTTCCAGATTGCCGGAGGAGATGTCGGGACAGGCCAAATTCTCGTATCAGACGATGATTACTGGGGCGTCATTCGGGCAGCAGGCGACCTAGCCTTGGATTTTGGCCGAGTCACCGGCACAAATTACACGCTCAGCAATGGCGGAAACAGCTCTAAGCCTGCTCTTTACACCTTCGCGCCAGTGGATGTCACCAATAACACCGTTGTGAGTCTCCTTCCTGTGCCGCAGTCCAAGTGGTCTGAGTGGCTCTAGAAAGCGTTTTCTTAAAGAGAGGAAGGTCGCTAATCGTTGTCCACAGTACCGAGTTCTAGACGAACAGTCATTTTCCGGTCCCAACTACACCAATCCAGCCCCCGATCGCACCGTTGTCATCGTCGGCACCATTGGTCATTCAAAGGTCATTGACAGCCTCATCAAGGCCCAGAAACTCAATACGAGTGAGGTTGAAGGACAATGGGAGTCATTCGTCAGCCAACTGATCGACGAGCCCATTCCGGGATGCTCCCGGGCCCTTGTCATTGCCGGTAGTGACCCTCGAGGCACCATCTACGGCATCTACGACGTCAGCGAGCAGATTGGAGTCAGCCCATGGTACTTCTGGGCCGATGTGCCGTCCAAGAAAGCGACTGAGATCTACGCTCTGCCCGAACGTAAGGTCCAAGGATCTCCTGCGGTCAAGTACCGTGGTTTCTTCATCAACGATGAGCAGCCTGGTCTGTCCAGCTGGGTTTCGTAAGTCAGTTCCATTCTTTTGGGGAGAAAAAGGCTAACATGCCCAAAGAACCAAATGGAACGACACCTGGAATGATGCCGCAGGATACAACTACCACTTCTACAGTCTCGTCAGCGAGCTTCTCCTGCGTCTCCGTGCCAACTACCTCTGGCCTACGCTCTGGGGAAGCATGGTCTACGTCGACGACCCGCTAAATCAACCCCTCCTCGACGCATACGAAGTCGTTCTCGGTGGCTCTCATACCGAGCCTCTCATGCGCGCTCAAAACGAGTTTAGAACATTCTACCAGGGCCAATGGGCCTATAACCTCAACAACAAGACCATTGACGACTACTTCCGCTACGGCGTGCAGCGTGCCAAGCCCTACGCTCGCAACAGCCTGTGGACGATGGCCATGCGCGGCACGGGTGATACCGCTATTGAGGGCAACTTGGGAGTCGAAGGCATCGTCAAGATGCTGGAGGAGCTCGTGGCCAATCAGCGATCTATTATCGAAGAGGGACTTGGAATCGACAGTGCCTCGGAGGTTCCGTCATTGTGGTGCCTTTACAAAGAGGTCCAGTCGTACCAAGAAAAGGGCCTCGTCGTGCCCGAGGACATCACTCTACTGTGGGCTGACGACAACTGGGGCAATGTCCGAAGGCTACCACTGGTAAACGAGACTGACCGGAGCGGCGGTGCCGGTGTCTACTACCACTTTGACTATGTCGGTGACCCGCGCGACTACAAGTGGATCAACACGATTCAGCTGGAGAAGACGGCGGAGCAGATGTCTTTGGCGTATGCCCGGAATGCGCGCAGGATCTGGATTGTCAACGTCGGTGACTTGAAGCCGCTCGAGATTCCCATCAGTCACTTCTTCGACCTCGCCTATGACACCGAGAAGTGGGGGGTTGACGGCACTGGCAAGTGGCTCGAGGCTTGGGCAACCAGAGAGTTTGGCGGCGACCACGCAGGCAACATCACGGACATTTTGACGCGGTATGGCATGTACGCTGCTCGCAGAAAGTACGAATTGGTTGAGCCAAACACATACTCAGTCATCAACTACAACGAGGCAGACGCGGTTCTGGGCCAGTGGGCCACCCTCCGCGAGCAAGCTCAAGCCGTCTACGATGCCCTCGCTGAGGAATATCAGGCGGCTTTCTTCGAGATGATTTTGCATCCCATCTCGGCTGGCGAGATCCTGCACAAGATCCAGATCAACGGTGCGAAGAACCAGCTGTTTGCAGGACAGAAGCGCAACTTGGCAAACGATATCATCGACGAGTCCAGGAAATTACTCGATGCGGACGCCGAGCTGACTATTCGATGGGATGAACTGCTCGAGGGAAAGTGGCAGCATATGCTTGATCGTGAGTTGAAGAACCAAAAGCTCTTTCTGTTGTGAAGAGTGCTAATATGACGCGCAACAGAAACCCACCTCGGATATGATGGTTACTGGCAACAGCCCATGCGTAACACGCTCCCAGATATGCGCTATGTTCAGACAGCCTTCCCATCTCTGGGTGGCCAGATTGGTGTCGGCGTCGAGGGGTCCAACGCCAGCGTTCAAGGTGACGACAAGTGGCACACCAACTCCGCCAACGACCTCGCCGTGCCCCCACTGGATCCCTACGGGGCCATCTCGCGCTACTTTGAGGTGTTTACCCGTGGCAATACTGCATGCCCTTGGACGGCCAGCCCTTGGCAGCCCTGGGTCAAGCTCTCCCAGTATAATGGCACGGTTGGCGGCAACAATGGTACGGACAGTCGTGTCTGGATCTCGATCGACTGGGAGAATGCGCCGACAGCTCCCAACGCGACGCAAGTGTACATCAATGTTACGACGCCGTGCAAAGGCAAAGAAAAGTACGCTGGATCAGGACAGAGAGTCATCGTGCCTGTTGTCAACCGGGCCGTGCCGTCCAACTTCACCAAGGGTTTTGTTGAATCTGATGGACATGTTTCCATCGAAGGACCGCACTACCAGAACATCATTGAGCCCAGCAACTCTACCAAGTTGAGCAACAGCAGCAGCAAACTCGAGTATCACTTGTTTGAGAATTACGGGCGCACGTTGGGTGGGATTGGACTGTATCCGCCCGAGTCGGAGAAGGTCAAGCTGGGTGAGGGACCGGCGCTGGAGTACCAAATGTACCTCTTCAGCAACACCAGCAAAGCCAACGTCACGCTGTACATCTCACCCACATCCAACTATCTCGGGGATGGCAACCCTCTCGAGTATGGCATCTCGCTGTACCCGACCGGTGGAAGTGCACCACAGCCCAAGACAGTGCAACCGGTGGGCAAGACGCAGGGGCAGAACATGCCGGATGGATGGGGCTATGCCGTGGGGGATGCGGTCTGGGGACTCACCGGCAACTATACGACAACGTCCTTTAACGTGACGCAGGAGGGCGCGTATACGCTTCGCGTGTGGGCGCTTCTGCCGAACATTATCGTGCAAAAAGTTGTGGTTGACCTTGGTGGTGTGAGAAAGTCGTACTTGGGACCTCCCGAGAGTTTTTTGCTTGGACGCGATGAGCAGGGCGCCGTCAAGCGGACCGCCTTTACAGAGACACCGGGAATTGTTGGAGGAACTGCGGACTAGAAGTAGTCACATGCTTGAGCATAGAGTATTGGGTGTTTATGTAAGTAAGGTGAGAAACAAAGTGAACAATAAGAAAGTACCTAATGAAACGATTAAAACCACAACGGGTTGGTGTCTGATGAATTTTGAAGTTTGAAATGGATTCAAATTTATCCCGGCTTTTCCCATCTTCGCCCAACCCTTCACTCCTGACATGTTTCAGTGCGTACCCGTAGTTCTGGTCCTTGGAGCGTTTCTTTGCCTTTCTTTGTCCTCCCACTGCGGTGATGTTTTTTTATTATTGTTTGTGGCTAGTGGATTTGACACCAGCCACAACTCACATCAGCCACATGAGCCCCACAGTACCCCGTTGTTATCAGATGTGGCTCAGGCGACAACATCCATTATCATTCGTCTGCTCACTGATGGTGGTGGGTTCGGCAGGGGGATTGAGGTTAGCGGACCCGCTTTTACCTCGCTAAAAAGGCTCCCGGTCGTCGGGGGCAACAGCGGCAGCTGGCGGGTGGGAAAACAACAAACGTCAGTCACAGCACACGGCCAAACAGCACGCACACAGCCCAGAGTGCGCACACCGTCAGCTCAGATCCGCCCAGCCCAGCCCGGCCCAGCACAGCTCAGACAGACAGACAGACAGACAGAAACAGAGGGACCCTTCAAATCAAGACATTTCACGACCACCTACCGTCACTCCTCATCTCCTAATCTCTTATCCAACTGCAGCTCTCTCCTTCCTTCCTTCCTTCCTTCCATTCCATCACCACCTCGCCCTCACCCTCACCCTCACTAACCCCCCCCCCCCCCCCCCCCCCCCCCCCCCCCCCCCCCCCCCCCCCCCCCCCCCCCCCCCCCCCCCCCCCCCCCCCCCCCCCCCCCCCCCCCCCCCCCTTCTCCCCTTCCCCCACAGCAGCTCGTGCCTCTTCTCTTATTCTTCCCCAATACTCTTTCGTACTGCACATGCTCGGCCCGCGCTGCAAAGCGGCTTTGTTTATTTCTTGATTTACACCCCCGTTTGCTGCACCACTTGACTTGGACGTGAACTCGGACTCGAAGAGCTCTCTTTCGCGACTTGCTCGACAGTCTCCTCGAAGCCGGTAAACGGGACTATCCGAGTCACTTCTTTTCTTCGCACAACAAAACACCCACACAATACAGACAGCATCGCAATAGCTAGCAATCATGGTTGTCGATCCGAATGCCGCCTCCATCACGGTCGCAGGTTCGTCTTCCTTCTTCTTCTTCCGTATCTTAATCCACTCGTCGAGCGCAAACGCTAACCTTGGCCATTCGACAGTTCGAGTACGACCATTCACGATCCGAGAAGCAGCACAACTGTACGTCAAGAACCTGTAGCAAAGCATGGGAGAAACCAAGATCAACAATACTGACAGGGCTGCGTGCAGAACCCGCAATGAAGAAGGCACAGTCTTTCTCGGCGATGGCTCGCTTGCTGCCGCACCCCCAAAGCTTCAAAGAGGCGGTATCAGACCAGTAATCAAGGTCGTCGACGACAGATGCCTGTGAGTATCCTACCTGCCGCTGCGGTCTCGTCTTGCCCTAATACCCTCTTCCACAGAGTCTTCGACCCTCCCGAGGACAACCCCGTCCACAGATTTGGAAGATCCGTGGTTCCCAACGGCAAGAAGGTCAAGGACCAGACCTTCATGTTTGACAGAATCTTCGACGACAATGCCACCCAGAACGATGTCTACGAAGGCACAACAAAACAGCTCATCGACAGCGTCCTCGACGGCTACAACGCCACAGTATTTGCCTACGGCGCAACTGGTTGCGGCAAAACACACACCATCACCGGCACATCACAACACCCCGGAATTATCTTCATGACAATGCAAGAACTCTTCGAGAAGATCACCGAGCGAAGCCAAGACAAGACCACCGAGATCACCCTCTCCTACCTCGAGATTTACAACGAGACCATTCGCGACCTGTTGATCCCCGGAGGCAGCAAGCAGGGATTGATGCTCCGCGAGGATTCCAACCAGGCCGTCTCTGTCGCCGGCCTGACAAGCCATCACCCCAAGAACGTGCAAGAGGTCATGGACATGATTGTGCAGGGTAATGCTTGGCGTACAGTCTCCCCGACAGAAGCCAACGCTACCTCATCTCGATCCCATGCAGTTCTGCAGATTAACGTCTCGCAAAAGGACCGCAATGCCTCCGTCAACGAACCCCACACCATGGCAACCCTCAGCATCATTGATCTTGCTGGCAGCGAGCGTGCTAGCGCCACCAAGAATCGAGGCGAACGTCTGCTTGAAGGCGCAAACATCAACAAGTCTCTTTTGGCCCTGGGGAGCTGTATCAATGCCTTGTGCGACCCTCGCAAGCGCAACCACGTACCATATCGCAACAGCAAACTCACACGACTCTTGAAATTCTCCCTCGGCGGCAACTGCAAGACTGTCATGATTGTCTGCGTCAGTCCTTCGAGTGTCCATTTTGACGAGACGCAAAACACCCTTCGATACGCGAACCGGGCAAAGAACATCCAGACCAAGGTGACTCGTAACGTCTTCAACGTCAACAGGCACGTCAAGGACTTTTTGGTCAAGATTGATGAGCAGATCGCTCTCATCAACGAGCTCAAGGCCCAGCAGAAGGATGCAGAGAAGACGTTTTACGCAAAGTTCCGCAAACAATTGGAGAAGCGCGATGCGATCGCTCGCGAGGGTGTGCAGCGTCTGCGTGTGGCGTACGAGAATTCGGCCAATGATAGACGGGACAGGATCAACAACATGAAGAAGTTGAGGGCCTTTGAGCGACGGATCAGCCTGCTTTCTGCCTGGGTCGCTTCTTTCGATACCGTCTGCGACCAACGAGGTGACGAGGACGCGATGCCCGCGACTCTTTTGGCCATTCGCAAAACCGCACAGGGCATCATGGTAGAGCTGGAACACAGCCGCCACCACATTCATCAAAAGCTGGAGAACACGAACTGGGAACGTGCTATTGATACCGCTCTCCACCACAGCATCAAGCAATTGCCCGGAGGCGAGTCCGATGCGGCTGAGATCGATACTTTGAGTCGAGAGGCTGAGCTGCTCAAGGCCAACTTTGGCAGAGAAGCTAGCCACGAGGTTCTCGAGATGGACAAGGTTGGCGATGCTGCCATGATGCAGGTTCTTCTGACGGCGCAATTCGACATCCTGGCGTCCCTCGAGGATACACTAGCGATGAACGAAGGGGATGCCGTTGCACACGCCAAGCAAATCATCAACCGACTACTAGAAGCTGGCTTCTCGGCCGCATCCCATGTTGTCAAGCCTGATGGTGCCATGATCCCCGTTGAGAAGTTCTCTCCCAGGAAACAGGGTACGCCCAAGCGTAAGAAGGCAGTCGTCACCAACACCACCTCTCCCATCCGCCAGCCAGCCTTTGTTCCTCCAACTGAGCCTACACCTCAGCCTCATGCGTCTCCCATCAAGTTGTCTCCACGCCGTAGAAAGGCGGCGGCTCCGAGGAGTCCCCGTAAGGGAGTCTCATTTACGCCGGTGAAGAGAAAGTCGGAAGCCAAGCGAGGCGTCCGTTGGAGGGATGATGAGACAGAATCAGGATTGGCCGACTTCGAGAAGACGCCCAAGAAGTTTGAAGCAACGCCGGAGCACACATCACCAGAGAAGGGACTGAGAATGCCTGCTCTTCCCTCATACCTGAGGACAGCATCACCCAATCCGGGTAACTCGGGCTCTGACGACAGTCCAACTCTGGAACTCCCCGAGTCTTCGTCCATCCCTCCTGCCAAACCCAATAGATTCCAGGCTGGCTTCCTGACCAAGGGCCGTATCTCGTCGATAGGTTCTGGATCACCAACAGTGCCAATCCCGACCATGTCTTTGCCTCTCGGCTCCTCTCCGTCATCAGACAGCGGAGATCAAGTTGCTCCGTTGCGCGCCCTGGACGTGCACCGTTCTTCGAACTTGTCGCCTCCGGCTTTCCGCTCTAGAATCGCGAGAGCCAGCCCTCCTCCGAGAACGTCACTCTCCGGCAATGTCTCTGCCGATGAAAACAACCCCCCTTCACCGCAGGGGCCGTCCGGATCAGAGTCAGAATCACCTAGCATTGACCCTAGAAAGATTCGATCGGCCTTGCACTCGATGAAGAAGGTCCGCGGCGAGCACCGACGCGTGTCGTCCATAGGAGGGACGGCGGCATCAAATGCAAGACGTATCTCGTCTGTGAACTCAATCGGCTCCAACCACCGCGCGTCGGCAAGCTTTTCCGGCCCTGTGGCTAGCAGCACGAACGGAATTTCTCGATCACGACGAGCCAGTGCAGAGCGAAGGCTCTCACCGCCCATGGTCTGCTCACCTCCTGACTTCAGGAACGATCGGGCATTCACGGCGGGGCAAGCAAGGCGCATGCACTTGGGAGGCAGCTTGAGGCTGGAAGGAGGAAGCCCGCAGGCGCCTCAGCACCGAATGGCTAGCGCCGACTTCAAGAACCGTCGCATCACAATCGGGAGCCTGGCAGCGACCGGTAAGATCGAAAAGGGACATGCACCTAGGCCCAGCGTGGCAGGTTGGCGTTGATTTTTCATTCTTTGGTTTCAATCATACCCACTTGGCTTGGTAGTTGTCGCAATAGAGGCGATGGGGGTGTCTTTGGTTCACCTTCCCTGTTAGGATAGGATCCTTTTTTTTCCCTCTCGTTGACGGGCGTTGGGCACACTTCGGATCTTAATCTCAGAGGGTTCCTTTAGTTTATTTCCAGCCGTTTGGCAGGCCTCGCCGAGGGCCATTGTATGGTTGTTGTATCAATAGGTTCGGGGTAGAGCATATATTCACAGTTCATCTGATAACGATTCTGATCTCAGCAACTCCGCTCCCCCGCGTCGTGCGAGTGGTATAATGGTGACAGGCTCTGAGAAACAAACCGCCGGGTTCACAGTGTCATTTTGCCAAGCAGCCAAGACACGCCGCTCCGAAGATCCCACACAGGGCATGCTGGGAAAACGTGGATGCAGACATGCAGTGAGCCCTGAGGTCACGTCCCTCCCCGGATTTGTGCCAAGACTGACGCACGTCGGCATGCAACGACAGTCCGATAATGCGAATATGTCGTGTGTGAGACTCGAGTGAGTTGCGAGAGTTGAGACTGTGAGACCTTCGGGTCTGTGAGATGAGAAAATCGCTTTGGACCTTCCGTCGGTGCCATGTCATGCTGCTAAAAACAGCATACTTTGTACCAGCAGAACCTCAGAGTTTGGAGCCTCATGATGAGACTGAACTCAACGGCCGAGTTCTGCCGAATGATCCGCTCACTGTGGTCAATAAGGCATGAGGCCGTGGGAAGCAGCAAGGGCAGCGCACAACGCAATGAGAGTCAAAGGTACCCTCATTCGAAACGAAAACGCTCGCTGTTTCATATAGTTTGTGGTAATTGATGAGTGGGCTTCTTTGTTTCCATCGCCGATGAAAGCCAGGAGCCAGGAGCCGGGTGAGGCATTTGTATGGGAAATGGGAGGAAAGACAAACGAGATTTGAATGCAGACTTGCAGGAGTTCTTCTCTCGGGATGAGGGGGTACCGGGCAGAGTTCGCCGCCGGGCGCGTGGTCAGCTTTGGAAAACGCGAAGGGCTAGAACACCGTCAGCTGTATATGTGTTGCAGGCGCGCGCCGAGGCTGTCTCATTCAGCAGGCCAAGACAGATCGGATGGCAGATGGAAGTGGCCAGCGAGAGTAAGAGAAGACGGAGCTCGCGACATCATTATCATCATCGTCATAATCAACACCAGATCTTCCTGTCTCTCTCTCTCTCTCTCTCTCACACACACACACACATACTATCAACAACATCAAGTGCAATAAGACGTTAAACTAAGCACCATCTCCGTTGAAGGGGCGGAATGACGGAGTGGGCCAGCGATAAAGGCAAAATAAGTGATGGCATTACCTAAGTTCCCCTGGCGTGGCCCTGGCAGTAACGTAATGAGATTTCCCCTTTTCCTAACAGGACCGTTGAGCCAAAGGATGGTACCCCCTCTCGGTCTGCCACTCTGGCACTCGTGCCATTCACAGCCGTTCCAGGGGAGACCCAGGTCGGGGTAGCTGAGAGTTCTGCGACGGCGCAATCTTATTCCAATCATGCTTATTCGGCTGATTTTCACCAACCGATGCTTATCGCGTCGACGGCAGAAGGGGCGGGTAGATTGCGATATGTGATGAGCACGAGGCGAGTGGCTGGCCGCTGTCGAGCGCTCTCTCTCGCAATGCCACTATGCCTGGCATTTGAATCACTGATTGATGATCCCTTTTCTCCCATTTGCCTCTTTCTTTTTTCTCTTCTTTTCTTTTGTTGTTGTGGTGTGTACCCTATTACGGATACCACCACGGACACTTCTTTGATTCTCTCATCTCTTATCTCTCTCATAGTATGGAGACCGGCTGAGTCGGCATCGCGTTTAGGCCGTAGTTGAGGCGACTCTCGGGGCTATCTTCAGCTCATTGAACGATTGAGCCCCTCTCTTGCCTCATCGACGGCGATGACGACAAAGTTCTCGGAGACATAGATCAAATGAGGAATGTGAGAAGAGGCCCTCTCAAGAGTTTCACGGGCGCAATTAAGAAACAAGCTGGAAAACGGATGGTTCAGTCGACCCCAAAATCAATACGCGCGAACTTTTGCAAAGGTAACCCCAGTCCGCCTGCTGAGGCGCCAAATCCGCGAGGTCCCAGTCTCTATCAAGAAGTTGAATGCAACGGGAACAGGGTCCAGGCCGGAATAGCCGCAGCACGTCATGACAGGTCAACACCTCTCTCAGTCTCATTCACTCGCAAAGTCGGGTGATTTCACTCACAAGTCACAAAACTCACTTTCATTCACTCATCGCTTGGTTGGCAAGGCAAGGTAGCAGTTGGGGCCACAGGGCAGCATCGCCAAGAAACATCGCCAAGATGGCAGCAAACAGCCGAAACCCGCTCAGCTGGATCCCGCGTTGACACAGAGAATGTGCAAAGAGACAATGGAGTTGCGGCGGCAAGCGGCGTGATCCCCCCTTCAACCCCCCCCCCCCCCCCTGTCCTGTCTGTTCCCCTTCGCTTCAGCCTTCATGTCCCTCTTTCTCCTCCACCTCCCCCCTTGGGATTCTTCCCCCCAGAAACCTAGAAAACTCTCTTGTCTTCCTTCCCGTCTTGGCCTCGATCTCGTACCTGCTGCGGCCCCAGACTGGGCATTTTCTGGGCAGGCATGGAATGAAGCCATGCCCTCAGGGGATTGAGCAATCGAAGGGTTCGCAAGGTCGCAATCGCCAACCTCTGGGCGCGCATGCGGGATTGCGGGTGGGGACTTGGCGGTAAAGCTTGTTTCCATGTGCCGAGGCGCATCAAGAGCCAAGAAGACCAATGGAAGAGACGGGATGGTCGTAGGTTCGCCGTCAGAACACCACCACCACGCCGCCGCAAAGCATGGGTTCGCCTGCTTGCTGTCTCGACGTACCAGCCAAACCCTCGACCTTTCCCGGAGCCCCAGCGGACTTGGACCGTAATGTGGCCTGGCTGACTCCCGGAGCCATGTCCCGGAAAGGTAGGTGCTTTCAACGTCGACTCGAGAACGAGGGACCACTCTACCACACGGCACCACTCAGGACCGGCACCGGGGCTATCGCGAGGGTGGATGGATCATGGAGTGATGGACTAAAATCAGATCGCTTTAGACGAGAATACCTCGTCTCGCCTCTGGATTGGTTGGTCCCGCCCTCCGCCGGTGCTCCTCTCCCCGCCGCGGACCCCCCTCCATCAGCTCGGCTCCATTCATATCATCTGCTTTTGGTGCCTTGCTGCTTGTTTCCTTGGCCTTATTCCCCTTTTCACTCATCTCAACTTCCGGCCTTGGATCCAAGAGCGGAGGACGGCGGTGCGTCGACATTCGACAAACAAGCCTCGACTCGTTCGACCCTTTTGCCCGACCTGCTCTTTTCCATCTAGTCTACAGCTGCTGGGAACTTTGTGCCAGTGACAAGCTTTGGTCAAAAGTTCCCATAACCCTTCCCACCCCCTGGCCGGGAATAGGCTGGTCCTTGGGATGGGTTCCATCTTCCACCATTCCATGAGCTCCATGGCGGAGAGACAGATGGAGCTACGACCTTAGTTGAAGAGCTCTAGACACTAGAGTCTATCAGTCCCCTGTTCGAGACTAGCCTGCCCGTTGATGGCTGCCGCAAGTAGTCAACTGCTTGTTGTTCCTCCTTGGTGATCTACACACTACCGACTACCGTCCCTTCTCATCAAATCTAGCCCCTCTGTTCTCTCGAATCATGACGCGCAGTATCATCGTCCTTGTCGGCGCGATATGGAGTCGCGACAGGCAGCCTTGCTATTGCACGATGCTCCCTCTTGGAAGGTGGTATTCCCCCACGGCTAGCTTGTGCCGCACACCATGATGGGCCCTCCTTCACGAGTTCCCCCCTGCCTGTTGTTGTTGGCCTTGACATATCCAGAGACCGTGATGTTGGCAAGGACTGCGAGTAATGTCGCCATGATCCATCCTATCGCCCCGAGTTGCCGTCCCCGGTCACAGAGTCCAGACACCATCTTCATAGACTGGACGATGACGATATAAACCATCCCAACTCCCCGTTGATCATCCCATCTCTCCTCCTCATCCTCATCGGTCATCTCCCAGTCCTCCTCCTCGGTCCTCATATCCTCTTCTCTGCTCCTTTCCCCGGCTTCACTAGCTTTCAGTCATCTCACAATGACTGGCTCATCCTTCGTCTCGGCCCTCACGGCCGGCCTTGCCCTGGCCTCCTCCGTCGCCGCCCTCCCCGCTGGTGCCCAGCAGGAGAGAGGCTTCACCGTCGAGCAGATCAAGAACCCCCGCTACGTCCGCTCCGGTCCCCTCGCCCTCGCCAAGGCCTACCGCAAGTACAAGGCCCCTCTCCCCGCCGACCTCGCTGCCGTTGTCGCCAACATCAGCTCTGCCGGCCTCGTCGAGCGTGCCACTGGCAGTGTCGCTGCCAACCCCCAGGAGTACGATGTTGAGTACCTGAGCCCCGTCCAGATCGGCACCCCGGCCCAGACCCTCAACCTCGACTTCGACACCGGCTCCTCCGACCTGTGGGTCTTCTCGACCTCCACCCCGGCCAGCCAGCGCAACGGCCAGACCGTCTACGACCCCTCCAAGTCTTCCACCGCCTCCCGCCTCTCCGGCGCCACCTGGTCCATCTCCTACGGTGATGGCTCCAGCTCCAGCGGTATCGTCTACAAGGACACCGTCACCGTCGGCGGTCTGACCGTTACCGGCCAGGCCGTCGAGGCTGCCTCCACCGTCTCGGACTCCTTCACCTCCGAGAGCGACCTGGACGGTCTCCTTGGTCTCGGCTTCAGCAACATTAACACCGTCTCGCCCACCCAGCAGACCACCTTCTTCGACACTGCCAAGTCTAAGTTGGACTCTTTCCTCTTCACTGCTGACCTGAAGCACGGCACGGGTAAGTACTCGCTCACATTCTCACTAGATGTGGTATCAAGAGATGGGACAGCTGATACTAACACATTGAACTTATAGCCGGCAAGTACAACTTCGGTTACATTGATAGCACCGCCTACACTGGTTCCATCACCTACACCTCCGTCAACTCCGCCAACGGATGGTGGCAGTTCACCTCCTCCGGCTACCAGGTCGGCTCCGCCAGCTTCGTCTCCAGCTCCGTCACCGGTATTGCTGACACCGGCACCACCCTTCTCCTCCTTCCCCAGGCCATCGTCACCGCCTACTACGCCAAGATCACCGGTGCCAAGTACGACTCTTCCCAGGGTGGTTACACTTTCCCCTGCTCCGCGACCGTCCCCTCCTTCACCTTCGGCGTCGGTACCGCTCGCATCACCATCCCCGCCAGCTACATGAACTACGCTCCCATCAGCACCTCCACCTGCTTCGGTGGCCTTCAAAGCAACGCCGGCATCGGCATCTCCATCTACGGTGACATTGCCCTCAAGGCTGCCTTCGTTGTCTTCAACGGCAGCACCAAGCAGCTTGGCTGGGCCGCCAAGACCCTCTAAATGCTTAGAGAACGCAGCTTCTGAGCAACAGTCATAGGAGAGAGAGATGGACGATTCAGCAAACAGGAAGCCCGGGTGATCTGGATTTGAGGACTGGACAAGGGAAAGAGAACTTAGGGTTGTTTGCTTAATTGTTCATCAGGACAATCCATGTGACGACTTGGTCACTACTTCTTATACATAATTCTTATTCGTAGCATATTGGCGGACATTTATGAGCGATGATGACGGAAATATAGTTGCATTGTCTATATTGAACAATATGACTCAGCATTTGAATGATGATTAGATCTGTCCCACCCGTTTTCCGTGTGCATCGTCGACAATGGCCTTTTCCGTATGAGTGATTCGTTTAAAGATTAGTATCGCTCGTTACTGATCCTTTTTCCGAAGTGCCAAGAGTTGAGTCTTCCCCCTAGACGCGTCGTGTTTGGACCGCTAAAATGCAATTGGGAGTCGTCCTCCACAATTACAGCTCAACTCATCGCTCACTAGCACCCACTTCCGGCCGCACTCTCCAATCTGAAATTTTCATTCCTCCAATACAAACCATGTTAGCATATACATAAGGGTTCCTTGGCATGCGGCAAGCCATCTGGGTTATGACAAGGTCCTAGCATCTCTCCCACCCAGGTCCCAGAATCTGCCCAGAGCGGCGCGGCCATCCGGCGCGCTTCGTTGCGCTGGGCGCTGGGCAAAAGCCCAAGACAAGGAAGATGGGAGTGGAAGAATATCGTCTCTTCTCGGGCTCAAGGAACCGAGGTGCAGATGGTGGCTCATGAGAAGGGGGAGAGCTGGTTGGCATCGGTGGATGGTTTCAATGCAGGGCTGCTCTGCCAAGGGAAACGAACCAGGGGAGGTAGGTGAGTTGGTGAGCCTGACGAGGAGGAATGATTTTACAGTGAGCGAAACTCTGCGCGAGAACGTCTTCTTCTCATCTCTTTGATCATCGCAACGGGACGGGCTTCATCACAATCAGAACCATGTCTCTCGTCTTTCTGAGGATCAAAGTCCTCCAATGAAATGGGGGATTGGGGGCGAAATACGACATACTGAGTTTTTGCGATGACTCTTGGCACAACTTTGAAATGAGGGTCGAATATCCACTGTATGATGATCACTGTAGAGCTCTATTTCATGTACAGTATCTAATGCTGTGTTGGACGCCGGAGATGGAACTTCGGCACTCCAAGGTTGGATTGACTATGACCAAGGGCCCCGTAATCGTCCGACGGTCTCCCGCCGTCTTCACAGAACCCTTCAGTGCCGGGGACCATAGGTTTTGTCTTGCCATTGAATTAATGGGGTGCCATCTGACGCGAAAATACCGGGGAGGTGATGTGCAACAACCTGTGGCTCACCACCTAGACCTAGCCAATTGCGTTTTCTCGATGCGCATCTCTCACCATCCCATCAACGAACCAAGTTCATGTGACTCTTCTCCACCGTACATCAGCTCTAGATGTGGAAGTCGAGGACGACAACTTGGCGATCTTTCGATGAGGTCGCCGACACGGCAATGGCGAAGATGGACAAAACATCTTCCTCCTCGAGTCTTTTGCTGTCCACGAGCGGCTCGCCCATAAAGCCAACACCACGCCAGACCTCTACTGACTCAGCATAGTCTTTTGCTTTCGATGACTTGAGGATACGGAGAGATGAATTGGTCGGGTCGGGTAGAATCAGGAAGAGGTCACCAGTTTTGCTGATGGCTAGGCGGCCGCGTCGAGGACTAGGTACTGGCCCGATGGCATGTTGAGTCCATTGACCTGCGCAAGAGTTCTTGTTAGCTGAAATTCTTGGGAACGATCATAATATATAAGAAAGGCTGTGTGTCGTCATCTTGCCATTAGGAGATCGATAGTAATGCTTCCATAGATTCTCTGCATCCATCGTGTCGCGGTTGAGAACATGCACCCCACCGTCCTGATCGACTGCCTGTGCCTCTTGATTTGTCAAACCTCGCCCCTTGGGGATATCAAAGGCAACAAGACCGGGGCAATCGGGTGTGATCGAGCCTCCATCTCTCAGCAAAGCAATGGTCTTGTCGTGCCCGTTCTTCCATGTGTAACCCCCGTCGTCGCTATAAGCATAACAGATGTTATAGTTATTATCGGCGCCATTGGGTCCGGCTTGTTGCTTGTGTTTCGTATCTAGAGGATCATCCCATCCGTCATAGTGTACGAAACCGCGATACACCCATGTAATATGTAGCTTACCATCACGGTAGTCCATGCCATGAACGTATGGGTTATTCTGGATGCCTTTCAGGTGTTTTCCAGCATACTCATACAATCCTGTTGCGGCATGATGTATGTACAGGAGATCATCTCCAAGACCAGCTTTGCCATTCCTTATGGAGAAGTACATGTCGTTGCCCAAGACACCGAAACGCGGGTAGGTCACGTAGCCGAAGTTCTCATGAGGTTTCGTAATGCCAGGAACGTAATCGAGAGTCAAAGTGAAGACGTCTTTGGTCCATCGGGATATTTCTGGATCACTGGCAATGCCCTTGATGGAGCGCCGATACCTCAAGCTTGGGAATCTGTTAGCGACGGTTATCCTTTTCTTATGGTTATGCAACTAAAAGCTGTCGCATGGACTGATAATAAGAAGCAATCCTACGTGTCACAGTGATGGTCGTAAGATAGGTGGATGGTACCATCGCCTGGACAGATGCCCATCTGCACGGTATTATGGCCATCGTCAGTGGTCTGGTGATAATCGTCGAAAACTATCGTTTGCCACTCAGAGTTGGGTAGTTTACGCCGATTCATACAGACGAAGAGAGGTTCTCGCTGAGTGTCATCGTTTAGACTTGAGGAAGAGCAGCTACTGTAGAACACAGCATATTGCCAACCCTTGAAGGAGATGATGGCGTCCTGCTGGAACGCGTTCCCGTTGAGAACGCATTTGCGGTGAGCCGGGTCCTGGCCCAATACAGTGACCACAGGGGTTTGAAGACGATGCACCTCGTTGAGTGACATACCGGCTCGTCAACGCAGGCAGGTCAGGGACAAGCAAAAGCGGGGGGACTTGGCTCGAGCTGGATTATCTTGGCGTTGGATGTGAGAGGTGGCACAGGAATGCGCGGGCTTGGTGTGGCACGATTGAGGGAACGGGAGTGAAAGGACAAACGCAGAGGCTCATGGAGTGGCTTGCATATGTTTTCAACGTCGGGTCTTGGAGGACGAAATTCTTCCGTCCCGTCTCTATACGAGAATCGTTCGCGATGACGATACAGCGACGCGCCGACATTGAGTCGAGATTGTAGTACCAGATCAAAAGATTCCCGATAGTTCATGGACTAGGATAACTTCACAGTCCACTTGGGGAACTCTAATCATGTCTGAAGGCCACGAGGCAGCCGTGAAGGATGCACGCCCGAGTCCCATAGCCCTGGCCTGCGACGGTACGGCACATTGCGGACTATTGGTTCATGGATAGCTACAGCTGCAAAAGAGGCGCCAACAGAATCAGTGCAGGGCATGACAGGCCTAACAGGGCCCGAGGACTCGGGTCCGGAACCAGACAGACATAAAGGGGAGGGATTGTTATGTGGCATCGCATGATGTTGGCCGAAGGCGACCGGAGTGGCTCACTTAGCGTGTGGTGGCTTGAACATATCTGGAATATCTACA